CCGTGCGTTGCAAGGCTTCTGGATAGGGTTATAGGGAAAATGCACCCTAGAAAGATCTAGACAACAAGTAGCTTGATGGCCCAGTGCTGTCTCTGGTGCTTGAAAGACAGGGACCTACCACTACAGAGTTCGTGGCTGACTGTTCTTGTTGTCCTCGCTGCGCTTGGATTGGGCTTCGTCACACCCAACCGTGGCACCCACTGGACGGTTCAAGCTGTGATCGCACTAATGGTTCGGACCTTGTCAATCGAACTCGTCATCACGAACCGTCACCGCCACCCCGCTGAGGAGGAGCAAGATCTTGTGCCTACTCTCGAGATCTGTGTGTTGGCCACGTCGCTGCCTGCACCACATCAGTCAGTCATGCGCGTGGTCTGCTAGCAGAGCTGCGAGAGTGCAATCAGACGGGTTCCGCTCAGTTGGGTCAGGCCAAGTCCAGCAGTCCATCCTCTCAAATTGACAGGTACAAAACAAGAGTAGGGCTTGATAGGTCCAAGTTTGCGGTACTGTGGAGGGAACATGGAGGTCGACAAGTCGCGCAGCTCTCCACCATGCGGCACGCAGAGGCAGCCTGCGTCTCCTCCTGGAAGCCAGTTTAGACAAGGACGCGCAGGACAACAGTGTTGTTCTGCGTGGCCTTGTCGAAGCCGGCGTCCAATGAAACAGCCCTCCACTTGGCTGCAATTTAAGCACTTCCTCGCATTCATGCATCATGGCCGGCGATGTTCGTCGATATACGCTCCGAAGTTGCACACAGTTGCTGAGGGGGGTTGCGGGGGGTGCATGGAGCTGCCATATTATGGAGGTCGACAAGTCACGCGATCTCCACCATGCGGCACGCAGAGGCAGCCTGCGTCTCCTCCTGGAAGCCAGTTTAGACAAGAGCTTGCAGACCAGCAGTGCTACACTGTTGTTCTGCACGGCCTTGTCGAAGCAGGCGTCCAATGAAACAGCCCTCCACTTGGCTGCAATTTAAGCACTTCCTCGCATTCATGCCTCATGGCCGGCGATGTTCGTCGATATACGCTCCGAAGTTGCACACAGTTGCTGCGGGGGGTTGCGGGGGGTGCATGAGTTGCACGATCTCCACCATGCGGCACGCAGAGGCAGCCTGCGTCTCCTCCTGCAAGCCAGTTTAGACAAGAACTTGCATACCAATAGTGTTGTTCTGCGCGGCCTGTCGAAGCAGGCGTCCAGTGACACAGCGCTCCACTTGGCTGCAATTTAGACACTTCTTCGCATTCATCCCTCATTGCCCACGATGTTCGACATACACTCCGAAGTCGCACACAGTTGATGCGGGGGGGGTTGCAGGGGGTGCATGGAGCTGCCATATTATGGAGGTTGACAAGTCACGCAGCTCTCCACCATGCGGCAGGTAGAGGCAGCCTGCGTCTCCTCCTGGAAAGGCACAGTTTAGACAAGGACGCGCAGAGCAACAGTGTTGTTCTGCGCGGCCTTGTCGAAGCAGGCGTCCAATGACACAGCCCTCCACTTGGCTGCAATTTAAACACTTCCTCGCATTCATCCCTCATGGACCACGATGTTCGATATACGAGTTGATCGGGGGTGCATGGAGCTGCCATTGAAAAGCGTTCCTGACAAGGAGTCCTCACCAACCTTCGAAAACAGGTTTGCGCCCTGCAGGGCCATTTGCTGCGGCGCGGTGGAGCTCCTTCCGACAGTGAGGTGTCGTCACTGCAAACACCGCAGGCGGCCTTCGGATGCCTCGTGGTGGAGTCCAGCCCGTCAACGTCGGCCGTCAACGTCCAATCTCTGCGATGTTGGTCAGAAGCATCATCCTGATCTCCGTGTCCCCGACTGCGGCAGCGAACATCAGAAATGTCCGACCATCATGAATTCGGACCTCGAGGGCAAGCGAAGCCGCTGTGATCGCGATGGAGGTTCTAGGAGGTTAGGGTCAATACCGCGGATTCCTACGTTCTCCACACCGGCCAGTTGAGAGCCAATGCATAGTCTCCAGAAGCTTTAGGTCATCTCACCGGTGTGGAGGCCTATGGGCTCATTCCCAGCTGCGTCCTGCCAACGACGGCATGGCCGCGGCCGCAGATGCGTGTCTCTAAATCCTGTGAATTCGCTGCAGCTTCTGCAATAATCCCCAGTTGAGCTCTGGTATGCCATGCTACAGACGGAGGCAGTACGTCGAGCTCAACTGTCTGAATCAAGAAGCAACTGGCAAGGATGCCTGCGATCCAGACGCAGCAGTACACGAGGTTCAGGAGCAGAAAGCGATTGAACTCTAGGAAGAGCGTCGGCAAGCCCTCAAACCTGAACATCCTGAACCCTCAGTAGCTCACTCAACAAACTCGACAGACCCTAAACTCCCAAGCTGAATCAAACGCCAAACCCTGAAGCGGATTTCTGCAAAAACTGAACCAGATCTCCCTAGAAGCCCAGTTGCCCGCATAGCTGGATACTGGGCTATGGGTGCTCAAAGGTTCACATGAGCTTTACGGTACAGCAAGCCTCTACATTCCTAATAACCCGAAACTCTAAGCCCAACTGGGTTTCTAGGGTATCAACACGTTTTGAGGCCCCTGCGACACGTATTCTCTGAGGTCCAGGCTTGACCCCGGCCTTTTCCAGAATGTCGTCAGGGGCCTGCAAAAGTATATGTTGTAGATTACATAAACTACGTATATTATTTCTAGACACGCACACACACACATACATACATACATATATATATATATATATATATATATATATATATATATAGAGATATACACACACCCACAGACACGCAAATATGTACATATATGAGAAAATTAAAGAGTATACTTTGTATATATATATATATGTATATATACATATATATATATATACATATACTTACATGTTGCATACTGTGTGTGACATGTTACAAGCATTACACCCGAAGCCACCGCGAATGTTACCTGACCTTTGATATCTGGAGTGCTGGGTCTCAGGAGGGAGGACCAAAGCAGTAGGCTTCGGTTGTTCTGGGCTCGGAGGGATATGTAATATAGGGGGGTTTTAATGATAAGAATTGGGTTGTGGGGCCCATTATACTACTATAATTACAACAAGGAGCCCCCAAAGTAGTAGAGCTACCTATTAAGGCCCCTAGAGTAGGCCTTTGAAAGTTCGGGCCGAAATGGAGACCTAGAGTCAGACATCCGATTTGCACATGATCGTGGCCGGCATGCGGCTCCAGGTTAAGGGCACCTTGTCCCGTGCACCGTTTGGGCGTCCAAAGGACTGGATCTCCTTGTGCCGACAATACTCGGTTTAGGGGTTAGGGCTTAGGGGTTAGGGTTTAGGGACGAAGCTTCAAAATCTGAACAAGCACATCCGTGTATGATGCGGCCAATGGCCTTTGAAAGAAGATTGCTTGCTTGCAAGGCACAAAGGGATGAATTAGAGGACCCTGTCCTAGATAAGATGCGGTAGAACTCATCCCTGCTGCGAAGCCCTACATGATTTGATGATACTTGGCCACTGATTGGAGGATTGCTTGCGTGCAAGGCAAAAAAAGGGATGAATTAGAGGACCCTGTCCTAGACAAGATGCGGTAGAACTCATCCCTGCTGCGAAGCCCTACATGATGTGATGATACTTGGCCACTGTTTGCTCGGTGCAGGTACCCGCAGACTCGCACCTGGCTGAAACATCAGCAAGCATCTCACACAACTAAAGCCTGTCACAGCCTCTTTAGATGATGAGTCTGCGTAAAGAACCATAAACACCGAACCTGCCTAAACCATAGAGCCTAATGCACAACTTACAACTAAAGAAAACCGAGATCCCGTAGCATGGCCTCATGCGGACAGTGGAGGTACTGCAAGGGCAGCTTGGACAGCTCCGGGACCCAGTAGCGAACATACTCTCCTGGCTTCGTGCAGGTTCTCTCCGACTTTTGAATGTTTGTTTCAGAAAGTCAAACATTGCTATCGCTTGATTTTTGTTTTTGTGATATGGTTGTGGCTGGACTACAAGAATCCCGGATAACGATTTCAGACGTGGCGTGGAGTCGCAGGGCTTGGGGTAGTGGCTTGGGTGTCGAGCCGTGGCTTAGCGTTACAGACTTCAAGAACATGCTTTCACAGTTGTCTGAGAAGTAAGGGACCACACTTGTAAGTATTGTCAAAGGGATCGTACCACCTATCAGAAAGCGATCTCCAAAAAATCTCTGATTGACGGAACTTCGTCAAGCATAAAATCTGGGCTCTCAAAGTCGATAAAACAATGCTGCAGAGCAGGCTCAACTTGGGAACCACGTGCTGGACTGCAACGTATCTGGGGTAATGGAAGAGAAGTCTTTGCAATGGACCAGGCATACTGTTTTCAGAATCCCCATGTCAGAGTATTTCTGATGCAAGTTCAAGCACCATGCAAGCCTTCCATTAAGCACCGTCTTGAACATTTCCCTGCGTACCCAAACCTCAAAAGGATCCGGCCCATGGGCAAGAAATCATGGACAGACGGACCTTTGGGGTCCGCTGCTTTGGCGTGACGCTTGGGATGACCTCGGCAGCAGCGTGCACAGAGAAGACGTTTTCATTCGCAGGCACCTCGGATAGACCTTAGAGCCGGTAGGCTCGTTCCCAGCCACACCATGTCTGCACAGGTGCCCCAAAGATCTGTTGAAGACTAACAAAAAACTGCAACATGTGCACTATTAATAAGACTACCAACAAGGCGACTAAAACTTCCAAAAAGCAATACTGATGATAACTGAAAAATAATGTTACTAATTATAACAATCATAATGGCAATGCTTGTTGTAGTAGTAGTAGTAGTAGTAGTAGTAGTAGTAGTAGTCGTCGTCGTCGTCGTCGTCGTCGTGGTAGTAGTAGTAGTAGTAGTAGTAGTAGTAGTAGTAGTAGTAGTAGTAGTAGTAGTAGTAGTAGTAGTGGTGGTGGTGGTGGTGGTGGTGGTGGTGGTGGTGGTGGTGGTGGTGGTGGTGGTGGTGGTGGTGGTGGTGGTGATACAATAATACGAATAAGCGTCTGCATCTACTCTAAATGTCTTGGAGCCCCGTAACCCTGACGATATGCCGAAGGGCAGTCAATGCCGATGAGCCACTGGGAAACACCTTCGGCCAAGCTCCACCGAGAGCTCAGCAGGAAACTTTGCCAAGTTCGAGGTGACTTGTGGCAGATTCTAGAAGGATTCAGCTCTCAACCCGAAAGCCTGAACCCAAACATCCCAAAGCTTAAACTACAAACAGCAGTTTTGTTTCAGGGCTCCTAGATGGCTCGGCGCAAGACCACAAAGTTCTCGCGGGTTTGGTATCTTGAGGGCTCCAGGCACAGGGCTGTAATGTTCAGGCTTGTTGATCCTTAGTAACTTGGCTTTGCCCGATCCACATATCATGCGCATTCTACGGTTCCAAGCTATTGCCCATAAACCCTCAACCTTCAAACGACTCTAAGCCGTCAGCTCAAAAACTTCAGAGTAGCGGGCCTGTTAGCCCCTGGTGCTGCCACATCATGGAGTTGATGGCCAGGTCGCTATCCACCAGCGTGATGTGAAACCACTCCTACCCAACAAGCTAGCCTATCTAGCTGGTAGCTTGGCTGCTACGCCTTACATGCTAAACCCTAAACGCAAACTCCAAACCAACCAATTCTGTTCGGGCCCTGTATGCGACGCTAGATAGCCATACAGTATGGCAACACAACATGCAGGTGACTGGGCCTCTTGGCACCGGGGCCACTACTCACTGCTCCTGAGATCCATACTTTTTCCCTGAACCCTGCACCGGAACACTACTCTTCTCCATTTTTTTAGCAGTATATTATATCATAGTAGTACTACTCTCATCATTGCTACGACAATTGTGAAGTACAGCTCAAGATGATTATATGCTACGATGAGCTTCAGGGTCTCAATCCCTGAACGAACCAATCCCGAAGAGCCGAAACCCCAAGACCCCAAACACTCAGACCCTGAACCGTGAACCCAACGGCCCCAAACTCTATGACCCGCTGTCTTTCCGTATGAGTATGCTACTTTTCCTCTTTTATCGCTTAAGCCCCTAAACCTGAACCCAAAGACGCACCACCCCAAGACACTAAAGCGTGAGCCTAGGCTTTCGAATCGCTACCGAGCTGATGTTTCTCTCGCTTGTGGCTGGAAAAACCTTTGGTATCTGAAACACTGATTTTCCCTTGAGGGCATACAGGCTTCAGGCTACTATTTAAGTTATAGTTATCGGGTCTTAATCACCGAAATCACGACTTTTTCAAGCTTACAAGAGCAGTCAAGCAAATATTAGTATTCTGTTGCGGGGTCTTAACCTTCAACCCCATACCTACTACACACTCAGATGTGCATATGCATCGGATCTCCTCGCCGACGCGCCAGTCGACGCCCAGCGTCTCTACGAGAAACTGACCGACGGTGTGTCGCAAGTTCCTGGGCGGAAAGGTGTCTATGTTCAGTTTTTTGCGAGACGTAGGTGTCTGGGTTCTTGTCAGTGGAGATGGAATAAGGCTTCACGTTTGGGACCGGTGGTCGGGGACGCAGGCCCCCTGGAAGCCCCAGTTACCTACGTAGTAAGTTACGGCTTCGGGCGCTGAACTTGCTACCAATCCTAAAATAATGTGTAGAATATTGAATACAGAATGTCATTGATAATATCACTACGGGCTCCGGTGGTTGAAAATTACCGGAAGCCCTGCGAGGTCATAGGCTGTACATCCCCAAGCTTAAGGTCTAATTACTTGCAACCTTTGCAGCAGCAAGCCTTGAAAGGGCCAGCATCAATGCACGGAAAACCCAAACCAGTCGAGTCACTGTTGAAGATAGCCAGTGCTGCGGAGCTCGCGCATGCCCTTGGCCGATGTGAACCGTCCTAAAGGCTCCATGCACCATTATAGTATATAGATACTTAAGCCTTAAAAGGGTCCCTATATAGGTACTGCAAGGACTAGTATCTACTATAAGTGTACATGGAGCCTTTGGGCGTCAGAACTAAAGCTATGGCTCGCCTCCCACACTCGCACCCGGCAGGCAACGCTCACAGGCGGTTTACAGTTTCGCGTAGTGGAGGGGCGGACACACAGCATCTCTGGTTAGTTGCATTTCCCCACATGAAGAGCTATGGTCCGAGAAAACATGGGACCATTCTACAACTATACGACCAAATCCTGCTTATAGAAAGAGCCCTGACTGCCTGCCTGTTATGATTGCATACTTTGTCTCAAGCTCCCTCAGAGCGCATGATCGACAAGGAAGAACAGCCAAGGACTGGAATGGATACACGGTGAATCCCAGACCCAGCCCTGCACGTATCTTGACCAGCGGGCAGTGCGCCTTACTTCCCAAGCTGTAGGGTACAGGTACCTAATAAGGTAGTGCAGGATTTTGGCCATCGTGTGTCCTACTAGCATCAACCACATGGAGGATTGAACTGTAAGGAAACTTCAGACCTGTACAGTTGTTAAAACCCTAGACATCCAAAGACTGTACATCCGAAGATAACGTTGGCCCGCTGGCCCGGATTATGCCCTTGCGTACGATGGTTCGTACTAGCTCCCTGGAAATCTATCTCGTCGAAAGGCCGCATCAACGAGAGGGAATCCGGTACGGCCACAACGCCAGGCCTCCGAAAGACTTCTCGCGTGTAATGTGTAAGGCCATTCAATATAGGCCATTCAAACAGGTTGAGGGTGCGTGGTCTGTTGTATCTGTGTTTGAGCTTAAGCTTTCGTTTGGCTTAGGATTTAAGGCATGTCTTGCTTTCGCTTTAGGCCATACACGGTGTGTTAGTGTGGGTTGGTGCTTTCCTCGGCTGCGAAGGAACCCTACAACCCAAGACCACAGGTCCCCCGGATCCTCCGAAAGCCCGCAGACCCTGGGCCAACCTCCACCGTATCGTCTGCTGCATCCCGCAGCCAAGTCATGTCTCGAAATGCCTGGGCTGACCAAAAACGGCTGTCTTGGTTGCTCCAAACCAGACTTCCCTGTACCCGGAGAGCGACATCCCCTTCAACTGAGAATAGATAGTCTAAGCCCCTGACAGCTTAAGTGGCAAATTGGTCATGCTCGTGGGAAGGGGGAGGGACGTGAAGAGGTTCATCCAATGTCTCTGATCTTTCCTTCTGGGACCCGCAGATACGACGAGCGGTATGCAAAATGTACTGCATATCGTACTGTAACCATACTGTAAACACATACCGCAACACACAATAAGATAATATCCCCATATCTATCCCCTGCTATACCTATGTATAGGTACATACATACATGCATACATTCGCAAACAGAGACCCAGAGCAGAGTGCTGGAAGCAAGCGGCCAGGCGCATGGAAACCTCGGGGAGGTCGGGCCAATACCGAAGCATCCTCGGCGCTCACTGGTATGGGTGTCGGGCTTCTTGGGATTAGGGTTCGGGCTTCTAGGGCTTAGGCTTCGGGTTTTTTTTAGGTTTAGGGGCTAAGGTTTCGTTTACCGGAGCTGAAGTGTCTTCACGGTTCAGGGTTTTGGGGTTTCGAGTTTGAGGTTTTAGGGGCTTTCTAGGGTTTAGGTAACGACAGGGTAGCCAAGGTTAGGTCAGGCACCTAACAGGGCAGAAGGGGTAGGCAAGGGAACCAAAGGGCAAAGGGTTTCATGTGGTTTAATACGGCTTAGAAGTCGGCTTAAGATGAGTTATAAGGCTTAAGGTGGGGTTTGATGATGCCAGGGGGTTCTTGCACGTGAACTCTGGTCCAAAGCTGCTGAGTGCCGTGCCAGTAGGCGTAATCTCGCCAAGCGCAACGCCTCTGAGACTGGGCGGGTTGGTCTTGAGTACCAGAGACTCCGATACCTATTTAATTAAGCTGTATACCTTGACTTCTCAGGGATCTTTCGCATGATTCACCAAACGAAACCGTGCCTGGGCTACGGGAGCTCAAGAGTAGATCTAATGTATAATGTTACACATGTGCAATCTTAAAAGGCGACCTGGGGAAGCAAAAACGAAGACAAAACTGAACCCCTCGCCTGTGATATCCAAGCATCGCCGCAGCTCTCTCCCAGGAAATGGATCGAAGCCCCGATCCGAGCGCGAAACCCTACAACTCCTGCAACCAAACCCCTCCACTTGGGTAGTTGTCAAAATTATGGTTCCTTTTTGGGTACACCAAATATTGTAGGTGCCGTACTATATTAAGGACACAAAAAGGGACCACAATTTTGACAACTGCTTTTGACCTCAAAAAACTCAAGCGAAAGCCCGACACCCCAAAGCCAGGAATTTTGAGAAATCCCACCGCTACCCTGCAAGTCTGGTTCGCTAAGTCCTGGGTACTTACGTTGCATCATATCAATATTGCAACTTTAAAGATGCATTTATTATGGAGAGTAAACTCGAACTTGGTGACTGTGGCGGCCTTGTTGTTTCGAAAATTCTTTTGAGTAAATTAGACTCCGCTAGTGTAGAGGCTCTAAACTGATCTTACCTCTAGTCTCCATTGTAGTTCCTTTTTTGGTTTAACCAACTATATAGTAAGGTAACCCCAAAAAGGAACTACAATGGAGACTACAGGTAGTCCCAATGGATTACTCAGACTCAGGTCTGATTGGGGCTCAATCTTGGCCCGGAAACCCTAAACTTTAGAAGCTGCCCCCATCCTGTAATTGTGACTATAAGGATTATACTAATATTATATTATAGGGCTCTATTATATTCCTACTATACCACTATTACAGGGTGGGGGCAGCTTCTAACCTGAACTCCTAAACCCCTTCAAATGCCCCTAAACTCCCAAACCGCAAAACCGCAATCCTTTTCACCGAGGCTTCTCTGAAAAACCCCAAACCTAAATTCTAAAGTAAAGCCTCCTGAACCCTGAGCTAAACCCTCCTACACCCTAAGCTGAACCCTGCTACACCCTGAGCCAAATCCGAAGCTAAACCCCGCTACACCCTAAACTCCAGACCCTAACCCTGAATCCTAAACCCCAATTTGTAAACCCTCGCAGCAAGCTGGAGACGCCTCAACCACTTCTTTGCCTGCTCGGTGCTGTGATCCACGCGCCACCACACCTCTATTTACGTGAGGTCCGCTTAGGTCTCTGGGGGTTTGGGTTTTTTGCTCGCACGCATGGCTGGGATCGATGGCCACAGGCGAGGAAGATTTGAGATTGAAATATGACTGGCTTTTGTCGTCGGGGTTTAGGGTTTGTGTTGAAGTCATCGCGATTTGTGAAGTTAAGGGCGTCGAGTTCAACACTTACGTCATGGGAAAGGGCACAATGCACCTGAGGCTTACCGTAAAGACTTGCGGAGACGGGTTATCCACTCTCGAGATCAGTATGGACTCGTATGTAGGGGCTTGTCCATTGTTTCACCCTAGTCTAGAGGCCTTTATAGTCAGAAGCTGGTCTTGGCGTATAATATACTGATATCATGATAGTACAGTCAGTACCCTGAAAACTAGTCCACCGGAAGTTTGACAGAATTTCGGCTTGGCTGCGTCCACCATGGAGAGCAAGCCCAGGCGGAAGTAGAGCCTCGCATTTAAGGCAGCGAGTTTAGGATTACGACTTGTTGAGCAGTGTAGGCTTCGCGTTTCGGGGTCAGCACTCTCGATTTTTTTGAGGTTTATAAGCGCTAAACCTTGAGCCTGTAGCACAGGCATTAATGTCGAGTGCTGGGTCACTTGCACTGATGCATTTCGGTTTGACGAAGCTCGATGTTAACTGTTGTCTGACCACAGGCACTGTTGCCTGCAAAGCGTCATTCTTCAACTGCATGAGGCCTCTTAGCCTAGGTCCCGGGTCTCAGTACAAGGGTGACCGGTCCGCGCAGTCCTGAGCCACATAGACCTTCTAAGCCTTTGCAAACAAAGCAGCGTGCAAAACTGAATGTGATGAAGCTTGCTAGAAGCACCTGGAAACCTTCACAACCCATTACCGAGAAGAGACGCCGACAAGATAAATGCCGGGCAGCGAAAGCTTTGACTCCTTGGCTTTCGGCCCGGCATCTCGTGTGATCGAACCTTTCGACAGAAACGACAGGTTTCCGGCTGTTTGCATGCATGTATGTGCATGCATGCATGTAAGCTTGAATGCAAATGCATATGTGTAACATATATATATATATACACACATATGTATATGCATGCACTTGCATTTAAATGTTTAACTACATATGTACGTATAATGTGTAAGTACATAGACCGACAATGCGCATAACATCAACATATGACTTTGTACATAAACATATACACAAACCCGCTACAAAACACAAACACGCATGCGCGTACACGCAAAAATCACACACAGACACAGACACAGACACAGACACAGACACACACACACAGACACACACACACACACAGACACAGACACAGACACAGACACAGACGCAGACGCAGACGCAGACGCAGACACAGACACAGACACACACACACACACACGTCCATACATACATGTATGCATGTATGCATGTATGCGTGCAATACATGCCTAAATACGTACATACATACATACATACAGACATACATACAGTACATACATGCCTGCTTACCTAGCTACATGTGTATGAGCATCAACGAGAGCTGTACAAGGAATCTTCTATGGGGAAGACCAGGTGTCCAAGAATTCACCCCAGTTGATAAAGATTAGGTCGCAAGTGATCAAAAAAGGGTCTGTGGAGTTTGTTTCGTTGCTAAACGTGGGTTGTATCTTAAGAGGTCTAATACGGGCTCTGCCCGGAGGCTTGTGAGCTTCGAGTTTGCGGGTAGGGCTGCACTGTTGGAGCCTCAAAGGCTGAGATTTCGTTCTAAGAACTTTGGTGTAGGCCTTAATAATTAGACGAGGTCTGTCGGGCTTGAGCTTATGGAGATCCCTCAAGCTTCATGCGGCTTCGGCCGCTCGGGAGTTACAGGAACATGTGGAATCTTCGTATACAGCACTGAAGACGGCAGATCCCTGTGACTAGCCTAGCACAACTTGAATGAAACACCCCATGCAAGACCCTACAATACCCTACAAGGCCTGTAAACTCCAATGCAGCCCTTGCATAGCTCTTGTGGACTCCTACCTGATTGCTCAACGGCTGATTACTGCAACAGCGATAATCTCTGCGATGTTCTGCAGGTACCGAACGACAACCTAATCTAGGTTAAGGGTTTCGGGTCTAGGGTTTCGCCGCAAGTGTCGAAGCAAGCCAACCTGACCAGGGTTTCGGTTTACGCTCTCGCAAGTCGGACAAGCCAGACGAGGTCTCTTGGTGCGCACTGAACTACAACCTAGGTTTACCTATAGTCTCCTTTTCCTGGTTAACCAAAAACTATATAATAGGATCCTAACCATAAAATTGGTCAACCAAAACAAGAAACTACAATGGAGACTATAGGTAGGGTTTAGGAACCCGAAACAGTGCCCCCAAGAAGGGCGGTCCTCGGTATCGGGCCAGTCCTCCCTCAAGCTTTTGAAACTCCTGCACAGGTCCAGAGGGAGACTTTGGATTGGGTTTATGGTCTAGGGGTTAGGGTTTAGGGACTTCGGATTGGGTTTGGGATGTAGATTCAACAGGGTCATCTTGAATACGAGGTTTCTGCGGTGGCAAATCACTATGAATTACAAGGCCCCGTTTGAAAGCACCCTGTGCTCCAACCCGAAACCTTAAACTAAACCTGATCTGGGCTGTTGAAGACAGGCTCTGTTCATTTGGGATCCCTTACGAGCTCCTGCGTAATGTTGACGCGTCTTTACAGGCACCCTCATTCAAATTGAAACCCTGAACGTTATACACTAAAACATGCTTCTGGATGTAAACTTACGGTCGTGCTTGCAACGTTCACGCTTTAGGCTTTATGACTAGGTTCCAAGCCTCATGACTTTCCGGGTCGGGCTTCTTTCGCCTTGAGGCAGGTTCGTCTCCCATGGGCCTGACTCTTAATTCCGGAATACGTCCTGAACGACAGCAGATCTCAGAAACACCGAAATGCCAGGACCAACGTGAAGTGGAAACTTGGCACACCAAGTTGGTTGACACACCAAGCTGGCATCGGAGGCCAAGATAGCCGAATGTAAACCCCGAGCTACAGCTGAAAGGCCACAGAATACGTGAGCTCCGTCATGTTCCGCACACACCGATTATATTATATCCGAAACTGGCTTATTCAGAAGGTCTAATCACCTTTCACTACTGCCATATGGGAGTATAAGTAGGTGTGCAAGTGTTGCTGCTGCTGGTCTTGCTACTGTTGCCCTTTCTTTTGCTCGTGCAGGTGCTGTTGCTGTTGGTGGGAACGGAACCGCCGCGACAGTGCCGGTGTTACGGTGTTGTCGTTGTCATCGTTGTCGTCGCCCTCTCCTGCATCGTCGACTTCAACATTGTCGGTGCTGTGTCTGCCGCTGCTGTGTCGCTGTCGGTGCTGGTGCAGGTGCTGGTGGTGTCCAATCCCAATTCAGCCATAAACCCCAACCCCACAACCAGCTCAGCAAGCCCAAAACTCCAAACCATCAAACCCCCTTGAAGGGCCCGTAGTTCTTAGGATTTGGGTTGAGATTGGGTTTAGGGCTTAGGGTTGAAGGGCCCGTTTTTCTTAGGATTTGGCTTGAGATTCGGGTTGTACAGGTTTGGGGTCTTTTTTCCACAGGCTTGATGAGTGCTTGCCCGGCCAGAATCAACCCCAAACCCCTGAACCCTAGGGCTCTCCTGGAAAGCCGCCTCGGCGCCCTCCTTCTTTGCAATTTACTATGGGGGCCTTAATTAGAATAGGGTTCCTTTAAAGGGGTCCGTAAGGGCTACTATAAGGGATCCAGTACGGTGCTATACTATAGGGGCCTTAATCATTAAACTAGGGTTTTGGGGTGCCCATGATACTATAGTCATAATAAGGAACCCCGCAATAATATTGGTATGTATTTATGCCACTATATTCTTAGCTTTGTTCCTCGGTTCAGGGTCGGAGGGTTGCCGGGTTTGGGGCAGCATTTGGGGTTTAGGGCTCAGGATTCGGAGCCAAAGATAAGGGCCCCAAAAAGCACATAAGCAACAATTAGGATAGGGGTATCCCCTATAAACCCCTTATAATGAAGCCCATTAAGGTAATGCTTATGTCCTTTGGGTGCCTAAAAAGAGTGCCCGCAGGTTCCAGTACCCCTCGGCGGTTACCCGACTCTGAGGTATATTCACCTTTGCTACCCGGGTTGAGTCTTCACCTTTTGTTCGGAGCCGGGCCGTCATAATTACAAAGAGCTTGGGGGGTATGTTATACTCTAAGTTACTACAAGGAACCGTAAGGAGTACATGATTTCATCAACTATTTACGCCTCTGCAGCACGCAAGCTGCCGGAAGAACTAGGCAGGTTCGTGCCGGCCAGTTCAACTGACACAGACCTTCTGTAACGGAGCTTGCAACTCCTGCCAGCCATTTAAGTAAACGCGTCAAGGTTGGTTGGTTGGTTGGTTGGTTGAAAGACACAAGTGTGACATCTCAGGGCAAAGAGATGAGGGGGGGAAAGAGCCTTGGGTGCTTGCACCGACAGGTGCCCCGACCCCCAGAAAGCTGAAGCAACTACCGCAGCAGCGCTTAATGCCTCTGAGGGCCTCCTGTCTCAAGCACTCAGGTTTTCATGCCTCTGCAGGATGCCCGTGCCGGCGCCAGAATTGGCGTGCACCTTCGCATACGGCCCTTGCGAAAGCCACGATGTCCGCGAACCGCGGGTCACTGGGCAGTACAGCAAGATCTTCAAGGTTGCTGCAAGGCCTTCGTGCCGGAACTTGCTCACATCTGACGATCACATGTGCATAGATGCTGGTGTACCTCTTGTTGCAGAAGATGCAGTGGCGAACGGACGCTCTGGATGGCTTGAAATCAAGGTGTCCGAGCATGATGAAGCCGCAACGCAAGAGCAGCAGGTCTCGGTGCCCCACCAGGGTCCCCCAAGGGAGCTGCAGGCGGAAAGCATCCTGTACCTGAGAAGATGGCTCTTGAGCGACAGAAAGGTACCTGAGAGGCACCACGTGTTTCGCCACCTGCATCTTCCACCTGGCCAGAGATACCTGGAAAACCACATCTTTCACATACGCCGAGTACGTGCCATGGCTGCGTCTGCAAGTGGACCACACCGGCCAGTCTAAGACTGTCCATTCCTCCAAAAGTTTGAGGGAGGTCTTTGCCTCATTAATGGACTCAAGCAAATGAGCAGCTGAGAAACACGCCCCTGCAAGAGTGTCTTGATTCTGCAACCACAACGAGTGCCTAACGGAAGCGACCTCGATGACAACTTTACCATGTGTGCACAGCTTCCAGCCCAATTCTGCCCTGCAGACTTCTGCGGACCTCCAGCGGCTTGTGCCCAGCAGTAGCCGTGCCCAAGACGCGCAAGCATCAGAGAGCACAGCGACTGCTTCGCTTTGGGTGCCCCAGAGCCAGCGGCCAAACCTGAGGGCAGCTTCTACCTTCGTGTCGAAAATGATGCACGCAACGGCAAGAGGGATGTGCCCGGAACGTAGCAGGCCACACAGAGCTTGCACAGTGCCGCTGCACATGCCACACGCCCTGCGAGCGTGGAAGGCAAAATCAGCATTGTCATTCCAAGAGATGCCTAGCCATTTGTGTGAATTTGTCCACGAAATAGGGCAGGGCATGCTCTGGCCCACAGGCAGGTAGCGCAGGGGCAGCACCTGAACTCTAGCACTGTCTGTGCTCGCAGGAAGGACCATAGCAGACGTCTTGTGCTTGTCAAGATGTAGGGTGGCTTTGTACTTTGAAGCCCATGTCCTTACAATGGAAAGCGTGCGGTTGGCCTCCCCGCGGCTAGATGCCAAAAACACAGGGTCATCTGCATGAAAAAGAACAGGGATACGAACGTCAGAAGTGATATCCAGGGCCCTGGCGCAAGCTGCCTCTAAGTCGCAGTCTGTTGCAAGCAAGTCCCGGCTAGGTAAGGGCCTGCCGAGGGTCAGTCGTGTGACCACATCATCAACAACCGTCAGTTGCGGGGTGCCGCGACCCGTCCAGCAGTGCCCTCGCCAGGCAGCAGGTGTTTTGGCAGACAACGATACCCCACAATTTGCAGAGATGAGGTCCTTAACGAGAGCATTAGGTAGCAAATTGAAGCAAGAAGGACCATACTTGCTACCTTCAGGGATGCCTTCACATGTAGACACAATCGAGTCGCCACTCAATGTGATTCTCCAGCGGTCACACTCCATGATTGAGCCTAACAGGGCGAGAGCACCGTCCTTCAAACCTGCGCAATCGTGGACCTCTTCCAAGATGGCGGCACGCCATCCTCTAGGAAAAGCATGGACAAAGTCGGCAAACACAGCGATGAAACACCTGTTCCAATGTTGGTACTCGTGCTGCAAGCAACAGAGTGTGAAATGATGGTTCCTAACGTCGAAACGGTATCCGGTCTGAAACCACTCCAAAGATCTGTGAAGGAGCGGGTTGATGCGGCCTAGTAGAAGTTGCTCCTGGACAAGGCCATGTATGTCAGCGACTGCGAGGAACCTGTAGGACGAGGGCATGCTGCAGGGCCCCTTCTTGTGTTTCACCACCAAAGATCTGAATCTCCACAACCTGGGCCTGAGGCAAAGCAAGTTTGGCCCACACGCCTCTTGCAGCTTGCTCGCAGCATTGTGCCAGGCGTTAGGCCGCAGAAACAACAGACAGCGCGGGATAAGGAAGGGGGAAGGAGCAGGAGAATTGGAAATGGACTCCGCTGCGGGAAACCATTCCGATTGGAGAAAAGCTGCGTCGTAGGGCCCCTGTCCTCTGTGTGCTCTAGCATGTCCCAACAAGTGTGAAACATGTTTGCAAACCAAATCGTGGAAGGAGGTGTCGAAACCTGAAGGCCAAAGCCCCTGCTTGCGTATCTGCGTCTTCCAAGCTGCATGGCTGTCGTCGATAGACAACCATTTGTCATCCACCAGCAGGCTGTTTGGAGGGACGATTGCAGGAGGTTTAAGCCACTTGAGGCATGTTGTAACAGCCCCCTGAGGCCAATCACCATTAGTCCTAGCACTTTGCAGGAGACTGCAGGTGGCTTCCAGGCTGTCTTGCTGTCCTGTAGCCTCTGACCGAGCACGCTTGGCTTTGACGCTCCGCAAACAACACCCAAGCATCCCTGATGAAGGATTCGACAAGGCAGAGCAACCAGGCTAGCACGTCAACAAGCCACTGGTCGAGAGCCAGGCGGGCACCAGCAGGTGCCGGCCAGCTATGGACCAGAGAGCACACTAAACCGAACAGAGACGTCAGCGAAGAGAGGCACCTGGAGGCCCGAGAGATGCCGTGCTCCCACAAGTTCTCTTCATGCCAATGGCAGGGAAGAGACACCGCAGCCGGGGCAACGCACGACACAGAAGTTTCCAACAGGTGGGCCTCTAAGAGGAAATGATCCCCTTTGGTGTACTCAACACAGAGGTCCCAAGTGCAGCCCAATCGTTTGCAATGCACGCCATTGTGAATGCAGACTTCTAGAGGCAACCGAGCTGAAGCACAGATCAAATCAATGGCTCGGCTGGCACCACTCGCTCCACAGCAATGATGGGTGTCTGAAGA